TATTATGTATATTATAATATATATTATTTTATATTCTTATACTATATATTATATATATTATATTATTATATTTATTATTATTAGTATTTATTCTTTTTCATTATTTTTTCATTTTTTCGTTTTTTTCTGTTTCTCAGAGTTTTTGGCGACTGGTAATTTTCGACTGACTTTCACTTTTTATCCCCGTTTTTGGCCTAGTTGTTGAATCGTGCCTGTGTTGAAGCCGCGGTTTTGGCGGGACTTGCTCTAAATTGTCATGTCAATACAACTTCGCGATTTGAACGAAAACACTATTTTTATGCTGACGCGCCAGCTGGCTACCAGATCACACAGAATCATTCTCCGATTGCTCAAAATGGTTGGTTGGACTTCCTTTGGTCAGATGGTTCTCCAAATTCCGTCCAGGTTTCTCGTGCCTCAATTCGCCGAATACAGTTAGAACAGGACACTGGAAAAAGCCTACATGACGAAAGAAATGGGCGGAGTCTGATTGACCTCAATCGCGCTGGTTTGTTTCAATCAAATTACTTTTCACAGCAACGATGAAAGTTTCATGTTCTAGCCTAGGAGGCAGTGCAGATCTCCCATAGAGTGTTCTGAGCTTGCCATCGTAATAAATTGTGCTCCCACTGGGCCCACCGAGGTAGATGCTTGTCCCAACATCAAAATTTGCATTCGAATATGTTTATATTGCCATTATGATTGTTGAAATCAAAACGGCCTCAAGTACGCGGGTGAGATAATAAGAATGAAATTGGATAAAAGAATCAGAATGAAGGAATGCCCCCGAATAGAGCATTATTCATGTTGCAGTTGGCATATCGGAACTACAACGAGAAAAAGAACAGCAGTTAATAAGATGGAATTTGGCCAGGACAATAAGTTAGCATGACACCTCCCGACCTGCAAGTCGAGGAACCAAGTTGCCGACAAATCTATTGCGGAGGTTTGCATGTAGCAAATTTTAGGCGTCTCTTTTGCAAAGGCGGTATGGATTAGCGCATTGCTGTTGGATGAATGCGTCCAGGTTGTGCAGGTGGATATTCCCGGCCAGTGTTTTGTAAGTCCTCAGGGAAAAACGGGATGGAATCTTGATTAGGTGTGCGGCCGTCCCCTGACGGCCATCATTGATCTTTTTCTCCCCTTAGAGCAAACATTCAAGCGAATAAGATCTCTTCTGTGCCATTAAAAAACCGTACGCTAACATATTAAGGACTGAATTGGATCAGACCGACCTCAAAGAGCGCTTAATATTTAAACTGCCAGCAGAACTCGGCCAGGAGAAATGAGCCACGCAGGGCCAGTGCTTCCAGTAGTCGATCTTCTTTTATAAACAACCATTTCATGTGGTATCGCACTAGTAG